AATAAAAAAGGCAATCTGGAAGAAGTAGGAAAAATATCACAAAAGTTACAATTTCTTGATATTACGTGAGTACAAACGATTCTAATTAAATTCAACATGTGTGTCTTATTTATTTATATTATTACATATCATCTATATGTTGTGCAATATCACATTTAAATGTATGTGTGTTGTGTGTATGAAAAGATTCACCTGGCTTTTAAATTCTCATAGGCCAATAATCCAATGACAATGTCTCTTTGGTTTTCTTTTGCTATTAATCTGTTCTTTATACTCATTCTTATCATTATAAAGAAACATATATGTACAATATGTATATGTATATATATATATATATTATCTATGTGTGTCTAGTTTAACTATTAGTATTAGAAACACGTATACATATAAACTGAACGGTGAATGCATCTAGTACCCAGCAGATTGATTCAAGTGGGTCGTTAAAGCAACGCGATAGAAACTGAGATCGATGCATATATACACAAACATACACATATATATATGTACATACATACAGTACACATTCGAGTACGGTTACTTTGTCACGGAAAACCAGTTTTATTACCGTTCGTTCGTTTCATCGTCTTTTAACCCGAACTTGTTTAAATTATTACCACAAGACGGTATTTCTGAAATTTGATCATATTTTTGCTTTCATTAAGCTTTTTTTATTTTTTATTTTTTATTTTTTATTTTTTTTTTTTTATTTGCATTATCTTTAATCAATGTGTATATGTGTGTTACAAAAAATCATAAAATTCGTGATTGACACGAGTACGATGATAACGAACATTAGAACACGTATCTTTTTCTCACTCACTCGTTTTCTTTTTGTCTCTCTCTTTTACGAGCTTTGATATTCACTCATATAAACCAACAAAAAAAAAAAAATATATAAACCATGATGAAAATGAAACTGAAAATGAACAAAAATGAATTGTCAATAGGCCAATTATTACGTGCCGATGAATGACGTCACACAAATCGTCGTACAAACGATTGAACTATAAATCATAAAATTGTGATTAGAACACGCAATACTTTACGTTTCACAAATTCATATTTTTAATTAAATATTATTATTATTATATAATATATATATATACAGATATATTAGGTCGTCCTGAATATTTCTTAATTTTTTTTTTTTTTTGGTGATAAAAGTTGCACTTAATATTTTTTATGTTATTTTATTAAATAATATTGATAGTATTCTGTATAATTTTTCTTTACTGTATATTCAATACGGTATACTAATTATATTATTATATATATTAATATTAAGTTGTATGTAATATTTTTTATATTATTTTACTAAATAATATGGATTGTATTTTATATTATTAATTTTTCTTTACTGTATATTCAATATACTGTATACTTATATTATTCAATATAAAAAATATTGTGTGTATGTAAAATTATTTAAAAAATTACAGAAACTTTTGGGACGACCTAATATATAGATGTATATATTATACTTATATATATTTTTACAGTATATATACTATACTATATTATAGTTTTATATATATATATATATACTTTAAATTAATATATATAAGTATAATATATATGTATATATTATAATTTGTTACTTTTTTCTTTTTGTTTTCTCCAAAATTACAGATCGTTGCATTTCCAAAAAGAAAAAGAAAAGTAAAGTATGTAATATCTAACGATCTTATCTAAAAGATATGATGTGTGATCTGAATTATCGAAGAAGTAAAAACGAAGAATGATAATCAAATATGATAAGAGGAAAAAGTGTCTTTTAATATATCACTTCTGGTTATTAAACATTATCTTTTCAAATTAACGAATTAACGATTTGTGTCTCTTAGTGTGACTAACAAAATCTACACAACGATGTCTATTAACGATGTCTTGGTTGTTTGACAAAATTTACAGAACATATAAAAATCTATTCAAATTAAATTGTCATTAAAATTCAATTTATAATTAATAAGCATAAATAAATGAAGAACAAAATTAGGAAACACATGATTATTACACATTATCTTTTCAAATTAAGGAATTAATGAGTTGTGTCTTGGTTGTTTGACAAAATCTACAGAACATATAAAAATAGAAAATAGAAATCTATTCAAATTAAATTGTCATTAAAATTCCATTAATAATTAATAAGTATAAATTAAAAAAAAAAAAAAAATAGGAAACACATGATTATTACACATTATCTTTTCAAATTAACGAATTAACGATTTGTCTCTTGTGTGACTAATAAAATCTACACAACATTTATTTTCTATTAATTAAAACAATTCAAATCAAAGTGTCTCGTTACAATTCAAATCATAATTAATCAAAATATAAATAAAAATTAAAAATTAAAAATTAAAAAAAAAAAGAAAAATAACTAAAAGACAAAAAAGAGCAACAAAACATTTTGTTATATTACCAACCACCATGAATATAATATTTTCGATTAGATTTTCAAGGCTGTTTTGGTTAAAGCATCGAAGTAGGAACGTTAAAAGATAACGAGTGTCGGGTGATACATCCATCCATCCATCGTACGAAAGACAAATACATATATAAATATACAGAAAATATATACATACACATACCACATAGAGGACAAATACACACAAATACGAAACTAAACGTCCCAGAAACCCTCGGAAGGCGGTCCGAAGAGAGTAACGTTACCCTCCCCCTCGCAAACTACGCAGTTACGTTCGACGAGTGTCATACGCGCGTTCAGAAGCGTGCGCAGGAACGCGCCAGTGCGTTGGAGGAGAAAAGAGAGAGAGAGAGAGAGAGAAAAAGACAGACAGAAAGAGAGAGAGAGAGAGAGAGAGAGAGAGAAATAAAAAGAAAAAGAGAAAGAGAGTGAGAGAGAGAGAGAGAGAGAGAGTGAGTGAGATAGAAGCAATAAGCCGATGTGCGAAATCTGTGCGCGCGCGAGTCTGTTACTCTCTCTCTTCTCCCCCCCCCTCTTTCCCCCTCTCTTACTCTCTCTCTCTCTCTCTTTCTCTCTTCTCTGCCCTTCCTTTCTCTCTCATTCCTCCTTTTTCTCTCTCTCTCTCTCTCTCTCTCTCTCCTTCTTTTCCTTCAACGTGTTTCTCTTCAACCATAACCGATGCGTCATCATTTGAGAGATAAGAGAAAGAAAGAATAACAGAGAGAAAGAGTAAAAGGACAAAAAAAGACAAGAAAAAATAAAAAGAAAGAAAAATGAAGAAAATGAAGAAGAAAGAAAAAGACAAAAAAAAAAAATAACTAAATACATTTTATATGTGTACATATGTATGTATGTGTAAGGGAGAGATAGATATGAGGAGTGTCCTTTTGTAGGGCACGTTTTAAAAGACAATATTTTAATTTTATTTTTTTTATATTTATTTATTTATTTATTTATTTAGTGTTTGTTACAATCGCATACATGATTAGTTATTAACTTGTTCTATATATATACATTGATATATAATTTTGTAACAATTTGTCGTTAAATAATTTCGTAATTTTAACAAATTCAAATCGTGCATTTAATTTGTATTAAACATTGGAGAAAGTTTGTTTACAAATCTATTACAAATATTTTATATTTGTCACGTAGTAGTAGTAGTAGTTTCGTTTAGTTTTGAATATTCGATTATTTAAATTTAATTTAATTAGTCAATTTATTTATTATCAGAATCGCATACATGAATAGTTATTGACTTGTTCTATATAATACACTTATATATAATTTTTGATTACAATTTATCAAGAAATAATAATTTCGTAATTTTTACATATTTAAATTATATTAAACATGGGAGAAAGTTTGTTAAAATTTATTAGAAAAATATTTTATATTTGTCAAATAGAGTAGTAGTATATTTATTTAAAATACGTTTAAAATTAGTCAATCTTAAAAAATTGCATTTTTTTTTTTTTCTTTGCGAAATTTTCGTCTAAAAGTAAAAACGTAAAAAGAGAGAAAGAAAAAAAAAATTAAAATTAAAAGAGGATAGTTTTCTTTCTCCCTGTGTCTCTTTCTCTTTCTCTTTCTCTTTCTCTTTCTCTTTTTTGATTTTCGTAGTTGGTGTCTTTAGCCCGCTTGACCCTAACCGGTAAATTTACAACGTTGCGAACGCGTGCATTTCTCGAGAAGTAGGAAGGGAAAAGGAGTAGGGATAGGTAAGGGGAAAAAAGTAGAAGATGAAGGTGAGGAAAGGGGAGAGGGTTGCAGTACACGCACACAAATAAACGTGGGCAACTGGGTACGACGAAGACGACGGATAAACTCGGTTCCCGTCGGTTTCCCTTCGGTTCGAACGCCGATATTGGGTTGAGGAAAAAGTGGGGTTGTCGGGGGAGGTTAGTGAGGGGGGGTAGTCCTCGAAAGTGGGGATTTCTCCACTGTCCGCTTCCCTTTATTCCCCACTACCTCACGTTAACTTCGGTCACGCGTTGCGCGCGCATACTTGGTGGGGATGGGAGTGGGGGATAGAAACGTGCGGCCGCCGAAGTTGCTCAGAAACGAAAGCACAGAATCATTATATCGCTAGACTTCGAGGAGAGTTGACGTGTTTGAAGTTACTCAAGTAAAGCTTAGATCTCGTGCTTCCTCTATCAGTTAATAATAGTGGAACAACGAATATATATATATATATCTATATATATATATATATATATTTTTCGTGTGTTATTTTAAACCGAGACTGTTTATTTTTCTTCATTTATACTCTCTCTTTTGGTTTTTCTATAATTACAAATTTATATTTTATATATTATAATATATAAATATATATATATATGTACACATATATTATATGTATAAAATATATGAATTATAGTAAAATACGATTTAAAAGAACATTTTACTTGGTTTGTTCTTATATCATTTCGTTGAAGAGAAAGAAAAAAGGACTTGTGAGAGTTTTTACAAATAATAACGACGTGTGAAACGAGTTGCACGTGAGTTGATTAAAAAATAAATAAATAAATAAAAAAAAAAAATTAAAAAGAAAAAGGGAAGAAGTATCGAACTTTCTTCGTCAAATAAATCTTGTGCACTGTGTAAAAGAACTTAGAATAATTCATTGAACGAGACATTGTTTTCTTCTTCATCCAACTCTCTTTTCTTAAAAAGAGAAGAATCTAGAAAAGATTGGAAGAGTTTGGGTAGTCAAGAAGTTAATTTGAAACAACAATTACAGCAACAACAAATATACAACGAGAGCAACAATTTAACCGTGCACACGTCGAATTAGTGAAAATCTCAAGATCATTCGCCGCGTAATCTTCAATCTCGTCGTGTTTTAATCTCAGCACCTATGGAAAGTGATCCGTTCGAGGATCCACCTTACGGACGTTTCAGACGTCGAATTTAAGTGACGAAAAAGAGTGAGACTTGAAAATTTACGGAGAAGAGAAAAAGAGAGACCCTTCTTCAAAAAGACATTTTCAAATTCATCACAATTGCTAAAACATATCCAGCAAAATTGAACGAACTATCGTAAAACGCGAACTACTAGTTTTCTTTTCTGCCGAACGAACACATATACATCGTCCGTTTAAATTAAAAAAAAAAAACAACAAGACTACTTTTTTTTTAATTAATTAATTAATTAATACTGTGGGGGTTTTATTCGACGAATAAACATTCGTAAAATATTGTTAATAATAATAATTATATAATAAACTTTTTACGAAGATACATAAAGCAAAAAGGAATAAACAAAAAGACATTGACATTGGTTGACAAAAAAAGACTTACTAGTTTTTATCTTCCCAATAGGGGGATAAAATATTGTAAGAGAAAAAAAAAAAGTAACAAAGTTTTTTAAATAAAGCTCATTTATATAAACAGAAAAGTAATTAAGGTATACGAAGAAAATGGCAATACCTTTTTTGATACCTGCCGCCGAGGAGGACCAGCAGGAGTTCTCCACTCAACAGCTGCAAGCCATCCTAGCGTTGTATTCGGCGCTAGAAAGACATCTACGCACCAGAACTGGTGCAACACCGACATGTGAGTTTTTATATTACTTTACTATGACTATTTTTTCGATATATGATCTTTCTACAATTATGGAAATTATTCAAGTACTAAACGGATAAATTAGATCGAACACTTCGTTAGAAACAAACTCAAAAAAAAAAAAAATGATTTAAACAAATAGAAAAAAAATGATGCAATAAGCATCAAATTACTTACGGGATGGTTCAATTATTCTTTATCCACTTACTATTTTTTAATTTGTCTTATTCTTCTTTGAGTTTTCACCACCTGTTCGTCATTTGACTGCGAACGATATTATTTTCTATTTTATTGTATTTTATTTCTTTTTTTTTTTTTGGTTGTTTGTTTATTATATTATTATTTTGTAATATTGTAAACATCGAGAAAATGTAATAACCGAATGTGTAATTTAATATTGTTAAAAAAAATTGTTAATTAATTGTTAAATAATTCGATATAAAATGAAAAGATAATTGAATGATTGGAATCAAGCAGAAAAATCACAAATGTATGAAAATCAAATAAAAGTATCAAGAAAATAAGAAATGAAGAATTTGTTTAAAAAAAATAAAAAAAAAACAATGTAATAGTTACGTATGTAATAAGTAAATTTATGTTAACGTTTTATCAGACAAATAATACTCGAAATATTGTAACGCAAATGGAATACACGTGTGATAGTGTTCTTTGGTTGGATGGTTGTTTCCCTTCCGGTTAGGTGCAACACGTGGTTGTTGTTGAATTTGTCCGTAAAGATTCTCAAACTGGCGTATGAAATTATTCTGTAGAGTAAATTTCGAATGTAAATTTGAAAAATCATTTCGAATCTCGTGCCATTTTTTTTACTTTCTTCTCATTTTTCTTTTTATTTTATTTTATTTTATTTTATTTTTTTTTCTTAGTATTTGTAGGCTCTGCATTTTCTTTCATTTTCATTTTCAATTATTTTACGAAAATTCATGAAATTTCATAATGAATTCGAGATCAATGAACGAGAAAAGAAAACTGTAATAATAATTTGTGTGTTAAAATTTGAAATTAAAGTTGATTGAAAAGTTTTCGTTAAGAAAAGTCAAAGTTTTTTTTTTGAGCCAATTGAAGTTTGTTTGTTTTAAAATTAAATGTCAAAAACTTTTCAATTATTGTTATAAACGTTGTTGTTACGTTTCTTTCTAAAGTTATCTCGGTTTCAAAATGATGACATTAAGAAAGTTATCTATGATGATAATCGAGAGATTTTTCGTTTAAAATGGAAATAAGTGTTTTGTGTATGTAAATATTTGCTTTTAACACATTTGTGACGAGCACATTTTTTCCTTTTTTTTTTTTATTTAATCCTGTGTACCAAAAAAAAAAAAAAAGAAAGAATTATTTCAATTTATATTTAAATAATAAAATATAATGATTGAAATATTATCATGAAACAAGTGAATATCAATTTATTTCTATGAAATTTGTCAAATTTAAAATGACGTGAAATTCACGTCAACGTCAATTAGAAATAGAATTTGAAAATACGTGAGTGAATTTACGTTAGCAGTCGTGAATGTGTTAAAATAGGAAGAGTAATGTAAATAATAGAAAAAAAAAAAGAAACAGTGTAAGAATATGAAAGAACGTCAAAAAAAAAAGCTCAACAAATAAGATATTGACACTGAAAAAAAAAAAAAAAAAAGGATAATAGTTCAATTTCAACGCAATTTTCAAATAGTTTGCTGAAACCGAACCGTAGGTCAATGTACCCCAACCAAATATCACGTGATTGGTCGTTCATGAGTCATGTTAAAAAAATCTTTCGAGTTTCATCATTCCAGGTATTAAGATCGAAACCTGTCTTCATTAAAATAACATGTGAAAAATGAAATTGACATTGATGACAAATTTAGTGAAAGTTGTTACAATTCGTTTGCATACTTTTTCTTGTTCTTTCTAAAATTCTTGATACTTTTTTTTTTTCAAATTAATTCGATATTTTTGTTGTTCACGTTTCTGTTGGTATTCGATTAATATAAATTGTTCTAATTTTTTTTTTTTTTTATTTAAATATAGTACAATTATTTATTATTATCCGTAACGATGAATTTTTATAAAAAAAAATATTTCAACATTTATGTGAAATATGTATGTTCGTTTTTATTTAATAATTATTGTTATATTTTTTATATTTATTTATATATTCGTGTATTGTTCACGAATATTTAAATTAATAATCTTGAAATAATTTTATTTGTATTTTTATTTATAATAATATATAATTGGTACTATATTTAAAAAAAAAGAAAAAAATAATCGAACAATTAAAATATCTTTGATCTTTGAAGAAGATCAAGGGAAAAAGAACTAGGACTTCATACAGATAAACATAATAAAATTAGAAAGTAATTTAGATAAAAAAAAAAAAACACCCCTATCAACTTGCATTACACGTTTCACAAATATGAAATTAAAAATCCATAAGAGATAATCTAATGAAATTTTAATCGCCATTATACGATAGTTCATATCTCTATGATTCCATTTCTTTTTTCCTAATTTTGTTTAATCAATTTATCCTAAGTGATAACTCGAAGTAATGTAATTATTACAAATAAGTCAATAATTATTGATAAATTTAAGAAATTATACAGCGATATATTTCCTAAATTATAATTTATATTATAATTATTATATTTCCTAATAAATTAAAAAATTTCCTAAAACTTAAAAAAAAAAAAAAACAAATTCAACGAATATTACTAATATATTCTCCAGAAAAATGTTCATTTCAAAATCATCAAAAAAAAATCGTAAACTTTTTGAAATTACCATCATCAATCTTCAACAAGACTACTACAAAAGAAAAAAGAATATCATTAATGTTACATCAATTACACGAATAATAATAAATTCAATATAATAATAAATAATTGAACACCCCCCTCCCCCCCCATAGAAATAGAAAAAAAAACAAGTTATCGTAATCAATCTGTTAAAAATTAGATGAAGTACCATTTTCTTAATAAATAAATAAATGAATGAATTACAAATCACCAAATGAAATTTGTAAAACTTGTTCACCAACAATTATGTGCAATTGTGGGCCCCTGGTAAAAATTTGATAGAAACAAATATAAAAAATAAAATTAAAAAAAAAAAAAAAACAAATAATTTGTTAAATTTGTTAACAACAAATGCAATTTGCAATTGTGACACACAAAATGAGAGAAAGGATAGAAGAAATGAATAAAGAAATGTATAGAACAGATGTATATATATATATAATGTGGGTGTATGGACAATTTTATGAGTGTGTATGGCAGACGATGTCCGGCCATGACCCTGCTGTGTTGGCCGAGCCTCCTCTCTTTGCTAAGAATAAGAGAAAAAGATAGAAAAGGTGGTCGGGGTGGAAGAGGTAGAGTGGATAAAGGTGGCGGAGCAGCCAGCAGGGAGAAGGGGTTATAACATTGGTGAGAGGGTGGGAGGTGGGGGTGGGGTGGGGTGGGGGTGAATACGATGAACGTGCATTCGCTCGGTTGCATGAAGGAACAATAAAAAAAAAAATGAGTAAATGTAGAAAAAGATAGAAACATGTTGACGACCAGTGGTCAGCCACAGTGTTGCACAGTAAAACAAAAGTTTTGTTTTTTTGGTGTACTGTTAACTCCAGGTAGATTACTAGCAGATTTACCTTTACATTCATAACGGAAGCTCAAACTTTTGCTTGCAGATTGTTCTATTATCTCCACGTAAGGTTGTGTCTCATGTGTTTTCTATCAATTTCCATCGTTTTTTGATCCTTGTGTCCGTTAGATTGCACAAAACTAGGGTTGGTAGTTTGTATGATCTTGATGACATCACTTATGTTCAAGTTGTCATCGATTATATCATGTTTCATGATAATTGTTAAACTTTTGTTTTACAATTAGTCAATTTTACGGGCATTTTAATCATCTACAAATTATAACCATAAATGACATTGACAACAAGCTTTATAAAACGCGATGTTCAACGAGAGAGGGGATTCATACATGGAAAAATGAGAGGGGGACAGTGAATCTTTTTCTATCTTTTTTTTTTTTCTTTTTTTCTGACATTTTGTATTTTTTTATTTTTTTTATTTTTTTGTAATGTTAACAAGTTGTTACTTGTTAAATCATGAGGTGTATTTGCATATGTGTAGGTGGATAATACGATACTTGGTTTTTTCTAAGTCAAATATTAAAAATTGTCATATTCGATGTATATATATATATTTTTTTTTATATATTGCATTTGATTATTTATTTATTTATTTTTTGTATTAATTTGTACGTTTAAATGTCAATTATAAATTTGATTTTTAAAAGTATTTTGTATCTTTTGTTAGAGAAAGGTTTTTTTTTTTATGTAATTCGTAATTATTGACACGATCGAGTTGAGAATTAAATTGTTAATTAATTAATTATTTAAAAGTAGTATCTTGTTTATTTATTTATTTCTTTTTTAATTTTCTTTTGTTCACGAGACTAATTTGGATTTATCCAAAAAATTGTTTCAGACGAATGTTTTTTTTATTATATTATAATTAACTTACTGTATTATGTTTGATATTATATTTGATAACTTATTGTTCTTCGTGTAAATGTAAAAATGGTAATTTTGAATGAAATCAAATTTAAAAAAATATATATATGAATATTGAAGAGTTACATTTTCTAAGATAAAATAATTTTGAGAAATGTTTATGCCAAGTTTCTTAGTTTCTTTAGAATCCCATTAGCGAATATCTGTAAAAAAACAAAAAAAAAACAGTAAAAAAAAAGAATTATTAATAATAAGGTAGAAAATGTAAAAAGAAAATATCAAAATTAACCTAAAAATTAAATTTCTTTTAAGATTAATGATAAGATCGCCATATTTCTTTATCGAAACTAGAAAAACAAAATTGAAAAGATTATAAACTTTTGTAAATGAGGGTTGTATGTGAACATCTTGAAAAAAATTATTAATAACAAGGTAGAAATAGTAGAAAAAAAAAATCAAACTTA